TAGAATGTCATTTTGACAAATATTTAAGAATTATAGAAATAATAATTTTATTTTCCTTTTTTCGTAATTATAGGATTCTTTTCCCTAAGATCATAGAAAGTAGTTCGTCAACTTTTAAAGATTCTATAGAATCATAATATTGTCAATATTTACAAGTATGGTTAATTTAGATTATTTTTAACTAAATATTATATTTCATTCAATTTTTTACTCTTCATTTAGTTAACTACATTTAATATGATTCCTTAATTACTTTCTCTCTGTTTCGCATTCGGTTTTAAATATCATTGAAAATTTTTTCTCAATGTCAAGTATATAAAAATACAAAATTTAAAATCTAATAGATTTTAGGAAAAAAAGTTGAAAATTGGAACAATTCATCGTTCTATCAAGAATTCCGCGAGCAGTGATCGAGGACATAAATGCGACGATGCGTAGCCCGAGTGCGAAGAATTGCAAACGTGGATTATAGAAATTCTTGCGAATCGCACACGAGAAAAAAAATTCTTAACGCGATATCATAATTGTAAAGAAGAAAAGTAAAAAACGAACGGCGGAAAAAGATAAAATTATGGAATCCATAATCCATAAATTATAAATACATCCATTACTAATCTTACCTTTTTGTATTAAATTTTGTATACATATAACTTTTGACCAATCATTTTCTATTTATTCTACAATTTATATTTAGATGAAATATAAAGAAATACTTACATTTATTAAAGATTACTGGGATACATTCATTCAATATCATTAATCAATTGCAAACTTTTAATATCATGCGATATTCATTTCCACAACAGCAATTAGAGGTTAACTAAAATTGGTTATATTGAATTTACTTTCGTGAACATTTATTGTGTCACAACATTTGAAAATCGCTTTTCTAATTATAAATTTCAAAGTCGATTAATAAAATGAAATGAAAATATATAATTCTTACCAATAGCTTTTTTTTAAACGGAACAGAATGAAATGAAATGATAAGAACGAATAGAAGGAAAAGAGAATCAAAGAAAGAGAGGTCGGAAGAACGGGAAAATGAGTAGAGAGAGAAAGAGATCGCAAGGCGTCGGAGCGGCTGTCCTTGGATACTCGCGGATCGGTGGCCACCGGCAGTCAATGACCTAACAACGCTCTTGTATCCACGTCGCTTCGCTTGGTTCGTTCGATTCGTTCGGTTCGTTTCGCCTTGTCTCGGCTAAACTCGGTTGGCCCTGCGACGCATGCTCACCTTCGGCTGCCTTCGGTGACTCAAGTTTTCTACCGACTCTCGAAGGACTCATTATTATTATTAATGACAATAATTATAATCATTTGCAATGATTTGAAACACTTTTAAATGTGACGTGTAAAAATTCAGATTATTTCGAATATAATTGGAAACATAGAATTTTTGAAAGTCATTATGAAATATTTTGTAAAATTAGTTTTTTCAAAAATTTTAGATTTCGAATTATATTCGAGGTAATTCGAATTTTCATAATCTTGGAAAGTTCAAATCATTTCGAATCCCTTACTCATTATTTGATTATCGATTTCACTTTTAAATATGTTTGATTGTTAATATTTTGGATAAATTTTCATTTTTTTGTAGTTAAAATTTTAAGCGAACTTTTATTCTTTTAATAACCTTTTATAGAAAGTTTTAACTTAAAAAAAATAATCTTTTACAACAGTTTTTGTCATTCATTCATTTCTCTCTATGTCATAAAAAATTTTTATTTTTAATATAAAAGTTAATATTTAAAAATGTTAATTGAGTCTCAATTAGGATAGATAAATTAACTTTACCTACGTTAAAGCGACAAAAATAGTATAACAAAGATAGAGTTATCTAATTCTATCTCGTTCTTGTATATCAATTTTTGTGTTTGTCTTGTCTCTAGAAACAAATCAAAAAATGTCACATTAATACATTAACATTCTGTATGTATTATAAAATAAAAAAGATTAAAAATATTGAACAGAAATAAATATATATTTGGCTATAATTTAAATTTGAATATTGTTCGAGAATATAATTTGAGTTACAATGAAAGTTCAAATCTGTAAATTTTAAATACAATGTAGGCAATATAATATCTTTCAATTTGATCGCCATGGTGAAATTATGACTTTCTGAGCTATGTTATTTTTACTAAATTACGTGTTACGACAAAGAGGTTATTATACATTTACTCATGAAAGGTATATGTACTTACATTGCTGAATAAAAATATTAACTCCAGTTTTTTTTTATAAATCTATAAAACAGAATCTTCTTTTCAATGTTTTGCAACATGACTTACATTGTTATATATATAAGAAAAAAGTTCTACTATACTTTACGAACGTAAAAATAGATATCGCCTTGTAAGGCGCATTTCTTTGATATACAATTTCATTCTTTAATATGAAATTATTTTGAAAAAAGCCTATCCCTATTATATATATATAAATATATATATACACACAAGTTGTTTTCCATCGAAGAACATGTTCGTGTCAGCTAAACGAACTGCAAACTAACTATTTATCAGGTATTTCTATATGATTTTAAAATTTTTTCACTTTATCTTAGAAGGAAATATATATTATTTTGCATAAAATACGATTTATTAGATAACTATTATTAAATTAAACACTGTTAATAATATATAATGAATTATAAATTTTCGTTTATAGAAAATTTATAACCTAACCTAAAAATCTAGGCTTCAAAAAGCCTAAAAGCTCATACATATACAATAGAATATATCATAGAATAGCAATTCTAGCTTTTTCCCCATCTACATATAATCTTTTAATATATAATATATTTAATCTCTTATTATATAACGTATAATAATCTATGCATCATGTAATATACAGAATATACACATATCTTACTAAAAAATTCGAACATCTTTACCTTGAGTATCAAAAGTATTAACTCGAGAATTTCTGCGACTAATTCTGAATGGAGAATAAGAAATGTCAACAGAGGCATATTTCTAAGTGTGTACCTTGTAATTTGCAAAAGCAACATGTGCTTTTACATATGTATATATCATGAAGAATGGGCGAAACGTGAACGCGAATGCGTTTCCACAATACATTCGGGTCATGGGAAGAAGATCAATGCGGGGTTATGGGGATTTCGTGGCCGTCGTTCCTTCGTGTCTCACGCATTTCCGTTTTCGTTTTTTTCCTACCTGCCATGCTTTTTTGCCGTTCATTACGAAGCTTGCTCAAACCACATGGAATATCGTGACAAATGTCATTTTTTGACCCAGGAAATTCATTCAAAACTTAAGAAAATTGAACGGTACCTGTTTCAAGTAAACCCTTTAACTATGGAAATTCTATATATGTATAAGATAGTAAAGAAAAAGAATTGATAATTTTGAAGAAAGATAATAATTTTGTATAATTAATATTAATATATTAATTATGACATATTGTAATATTAAAACAAATATAATATATATTTGATTAAAAATAATTTAATTAAAAAAAAAAAGAAATTAAGAGATTTTCTTACAAGTTACAAATTAATCGTGAAATCGATCCGATTATTTTTCTCGTTTTGAATCAATATTAGATCTTTACAGTAAATCGATTCCATTTTTTAAAATCCTTTCCCCATATGCGTTGTTCTTTTGCGGAAAGGAAAATCTGGGTCATTGTAACAACATTGTTCACGTTGAAAATTGGCGGAAAGGGGTTTCGTTCGAGATATTTTCTAAAGCCGAGAAAAAGGATCGTGAATATTGAATGGGTTCGTTTTCTATGAGCCGTTCAACCGAGTTTTCAATAGCGGGGTATACGAGAACCATTAGATCGGTTTCGTGAGAAAGAAAAATCATTACTACAGGAAAACAGATCTTTTCATTTTTTGATCCTCGAATCTCACAAACGAAACATCAAAAGATATCTTTTTGATTTAATTTATTTATAATATAATTTAATTTATTTACAAGAAAAGTATATAACACCATTTAAAAAGTTTTAGAAGAAATTAACTTCCAAAATAAATAATTGCAAACGTTCCATGTTAAAATGATAAATTTTTCTTTTTTTCGAAAATCGATAATAAATAAATAATTGCATTTAAGCAAATTTTTTTGTTATTTGCAGTTGGATAGATCTTGTAATGGTAATAATTCATTATGCTGGAAAACTGAAATATAATCAAGATATGACACCCAGATTAAGATAGGGTTAACCAAGCTCACCAAGAAAATTTCTAACAATGAGTTAGTAAATAATTTACAACTATAAATCACTACAAGCAAATTGTCGGTCGAATACAAGTCAAACTTGAAAGACTTTACCTTAAGATCTTAAATCTTTTCTTAGTAAGTATTAGTCCTTAATCCTTAGTTCATCGATACGTCGTAGTATACCTATTTTATAAGGCAGATATCTATATAATTTTTGGAATACTGATGATATTACAATTAATAACTTTCTTCAGCTTTATATATTGTATTTATATATAAATATTTATTTAAGTAGTTCTTATATTTATAGTAATAATACATAAGATAAATATTTCATCTTTCCAATTTGAATTGAATGTAAAAATTTCTTGTTCATAATTTCATCTTTGTGAAAGAAAAATTTAATATATATTTTATTAGTTTTCTGTATAATATATCAATCTAAAATAAATTTAACCTTTAAGAGTGGAGAAGAGATTATGATGAAAAAAAAAAAAAATAGAAAATGAAATAAAAAGAAAATTAAAAAGCTTAAATTATTATAATATAATATAAAATGTTATTATAATATTATTATAATAAATATAAAATTGGATTTTTTGTTTAGAAAATATAGAAGAAGAAAAGATTCATACATCCCATATACCCATGCAACTAATTCACAATGTATAGATTAATTTGATCATGGTTACAACTCTTTCTACATGTTCATTTTTGAGAAAAATATTACAATATTGCATTGTGTGTTATCAATACAATTTCACTCAATATATTATTCATTTACATTTTTTTCATTAACATAATTCGATCTCAAAAAAGATTCATCTCTTCCTTTTAAATTACCTTAACCTAATTTCGCTTGATGTAATTTCATTTTATGAACAATTTTATTTTTCGTTAGAGAAGGTTTAAAGACAGGTTTTTCGACAAAATGACGCGGAGAATGCTTATCCTGCAGTCACGTCGAAAAGTTGCACGATAATTCAGTAAAATTACGTCACATGCCGGTATCTTCCAAGAATTTATAACGGAACTCAGTTTCGTCATTCAGGATTCAGTGGTCGCCAACGTATATACGTGTATGTCGTGTTTATTTTTAGAAACAGCTACAATCATCTCGAGTTTAAACATTGGCAAGGCACAGGTTCCTCTTCACGCTTCTCCGCTTGATCGAATAATTCCCTGTTTCGCGAAAAGAGTAGAGGCAATTAAACTTTCATGCGAGAAGCGTAAATTAAGTTGGCTCGTGAAACGACAGGATACGTAAGTGTTGGTACTTCTTTTTAGCGTTCGTAAAATCATTTTTGAAGAGATAATTGCCTACCAAAGTAAAAGAACGAATATTTTAAAAATTAACGAAAGATAATTGCGAATAAATATAAAAATGAGGAATTTATTATTAATAAAATATTGTAAAAGAAATGAGTCAAAGAAAATAAATTATTAATCTTTACATTAGATATCGTTTCATTCTAAAATGCATATAAAAAATATTATTAGATACATTTTTAAATACATTTCCATTCAGATGATCGGTCATTTGAATAGAACCAAATTTTAAATAATTGATAATATTCTTCTATAAAGTAGAATGAAATCAAAGATTCATTTATCTTACCAATTTCCAATTCCTTTTACTTTTTTTTTCAACCGTTCATGAAACATTTGTCGAATCTATATGCAAATTTCGTGGCGCCTATCCTAGTCGGATACGGGATCAATCGCGTTCACGGTTTCCACGGTTCAATCAGCATCAGGAAGTTTTCCCACAAGGTGTGCTCAGGTAGGATATGGAACAGAAATATCGAATATACGGTAAGGTGCTACTGAAGAACGCAGGATACACAAGAATAACTCGAACCACCTGTCCCTCTCTCCCACGCTTCTATAAAATCCTATGGACCCGATGGATGGATGGATGGATGCTCTCTAATATGAGATCTCGAGCAGAGCGAAAAGAGATCAGGCCTGCTACCCCACCTGCGCTTTTTCTTTTCCATTACTTTAGGACAAAGGACAGAGGAAGGAAGTCGCTTCTTCCTTGCCTCTTCCCCTCTTCGAATAGAATCGATTGAATTTCGATTGGAAAATTTTTTGTGAGAATTTTTCCTTGGTTTAAAAAAGAAACGTCTCTCTTCTTCTTTTCTAAAATTTAATTTCTGTCGATTATCTGATTTTTTTTAACTTAGTTTAATATATCAATAAAAATATATTATCATATCTTTCAATGTACATTTTTATATGAAGATTTTTCCATTAAGAATATTACAAATATTATTAATATTACAAATATTCATTACAAATATTATAAAAAATTATTCAATTATTTTTAAACCGGTTTTATTTGCAAAATCGGTCATTTCATAGAATATTTTTCCATTGAATGTAAGATTATATTTTACAGAAGATTTTGTTTATTGGAACAATATGAAGATCTGCTATCATGATATTTATATACAGAGAGAATAAAATATTAGATGACTACTGTGCAAGTTCGAATATTTGTTAAAAAGTAGAAGATCGAGGACAAAGAAAATGCGAAAAAAATATTAATTTTCTATAACACAATAGAAAATATATCAAAATGTTACAAAAATTTTATTATTTTATTAATATTTTTATTTCATTAGAGGAATGGAGGAGTACAAGATTTTTAATAATAGATAAATAGATAATAAATAGAAATAGATATTTCTATTTTTTTAAATAATATATTAGACTTTGCATATAAACTTTTTCTTGAAATGATAATTATGTAAAGAAAATATTTCAAATTGTACATTTTAATATACAATTCACACAAATATTTTAAAATGATTATTACATATAAAGTATAAAAATTATTTTCACATAATCTTTATAAATCCATCTACAATTAATATGATATAATATATTTTTTATTATATTAAACTATTATTAAAAGTTTATATTAAACTTTATATTAAACTATAATTTTTTTATATCTTTTTAATATTTTTATAATTTAGTATATTCGTTAAAATATATTTCACTGTACTTAAATAAAATTAACATACCTGTATAAAATCCACAGGACCAATAATTGTAAACAATATCTTAAAGGATAATAAAGAGCAATAAATAATGAAACTAAATCTTTTCCCAACAATCATTCCAATTTCCACAGTCTTTTCAGGTATGCATACCTGTCCAGTTTCTTCACATCGGCACTTTTGCGGCCCCCTAATATACACCAGAACCATAAACGAGAATTTTTTGAGGAAGCCCCACACGATGGACCATGAAGAAAACTGAAACTGAAAAAAACGTGGTTTCTTCAATATTTTTAAGCCTTGCCTATTGTATGTAACGGAATCGGTGGTTTTTTTCGACATTTATTTTTTTCCACTACCGAAAAATTCTCGAATTGCCATACTCAAACCTTTTTTTTATGACGGTCGACATTTTCGACTAGTCGAACCTGGTCGAAAGAAAATTGTCATAATAGTAGGATTTTATTGCACGTACTGGACGTAAACTGAGTGAAAATGTATGGAATAATAGGCTTACGTTGAACATAACGTTCGTTTTACTCTTTTTCAATTTTTGTCAGATTTACGAAGAAAGATCTTTTATCTTTTCAGTTTCACGGAAAGGCGATGTTCGTTTTGTTTGATTTGTGTTTTTTTCAATTTTTTACTCGCATCTGCTTGCAAAATTGAGAAATTGGAAAATTCAATCTAACTTCTTAGCTTTGCTGTTATATTTCAATTTATTTGATTCAAAATAATTAATAATATTTAAGTTAAAATTAAATATAATTTCTTGTATTTATTGTTGATCTTTATAGATTCAAAAAATATATCAAAATATATATACAAAAATATCATCTATTTTTATCATTATTATTAGTTATAATTTATTATAAAAAATTTAACATTTTTAATGATTTAACGAAAAAATCCTGAACATTAAAATATTAAAAAAGGGGATAGAAAGTATCATTTAATGTTCTTGATAAGTACAAGTTTCATTACCTTGACATTTACTTAGCCTTGTTTTATCTTCTTTTATTGAATTTGTATACTGGTAAATATTTCATGATAACATATTATTAAGATAAGTATTAAATATTAATAATGGCATTATTAAGAGTTCTTGAAAATCAGATTTCCTGGATACGATAATGTAATGAATTACGTATACATTATCATAGTAATAATTAATAACCACCAATTGACCAATTTTGAAATGTTTTTGATTTATTTTACAATTATTGATATCTGTTCATCAATATATGGCGCTGAAAAATAATTTTCATTAAATTTTTTT